TTATAAATAGAAAGTAAAAATGATGGAAAGCAAAAGTCAAATGACTGGGAAAATGTCAGGGAGTTCCATCTTCTTAGACAGGAAACAAGGGACAAATGTGGGTTGTTCTGAAATGCATGCAGGACCCTGCAACAAAAAATACTTTTTATCTGCTTCTCCCTATATTTAAATATTCAGGTTCTCATCTGAGAGGACCAATTTCCTTTGTTCTGAAAGCTCTTGAGAGCCAGAGCCCATGAACCCCTAGAGACTTCTTTGTATGTAAACAAAAAAGCCTTAGCTCCCTAAAAAAGCCTTAGCTCCCTAAAGAGATGATCATCATACAGACAAAGCTAGAAGATGAATAGAGTTATTACAGATCTCCAGTTTATTTTACTATTGTCTCATTGCTTCCTTTTGCTCATCCATCTCTTAGTATATCCCTTTGCAGTCTCCTGTGTGATATTTAAAATACAAGTTCTTTAGAGCAGGGACGATATTTTTGTTCTTGGTTTGTTCAGTGCCTAGCACTATGGGGTCCTGTTCAACAATTGGGGCCTTTAGATACTATTGCAATACAACAAATAAATAAACATATTAACACATATTAACTAGTAAGTAAAAACTTCTGTGATTTGTTTGTTCTTATTTATGTAATCAATTTAGTCCTGAACCAGAAGCCACTGAAGAAAATAGCAGAATTTTTTTACTGACTTCAGTGAATTTTTAATCAGGTCCCTTATCTGCTGGCCTAGAGCTTTCAGGAAGGAATATGGCTAGATATGTGTAACCCCTACCCCTGGGTTTTGAAGGGTTAAGCAGTGAGGGCCAGGTGTGCTCCAAACCCAGAAAAAACAGATCCAGGTAGCTGAGCTGAGCTATAGTTCCCAACCTGCGTTTGGAGCTGGCACAAAGTTGCTATCAGTCAATAGGAGAGGGAGTGGGCAGGGCTACCAAAAGCCCATGAAAAATTATAAAAGGGGATAATGGTTTGAACTACATCCTCCAATCTGCTTTGAGGGCTACAAGGAAGAGAGGTGGGAAAAAGCTGTTGCAATGTGGGGGCCTTTGAGCTCCAAGCCAGCTTGAAGGGACAAGGGGACATTTTGCTCCCCAATAGGCTCTAAGAACCATTGAAACAGGCCCCAGGCAGATTGTGGAGGAGCCTAGTCTGAATGCAGCTGGGAGAAGGATTGACTTCCCCACAGAGGAGAACCAAAACAGAGAATAAAACTGACTGCTACTACAGAACTGGACCTGAGGGAGTTATATTTAAAAGGCTGCAGAAGTTAGTGTGGCCAACAATACTGTAGCAAGGGAGGGGCGAACAGCACAACCACCCTGGGCACTGAAGCAAAGTGGCAACAACAGGTGCTGCTCAGCTGGGATGGAGCACAGGACAGAGCCATGAGCAGCTCATTTTGGGGGCTCAATGTTGCTTTGGAGACTGTGATTACAGTTCATTCTTCTTTCCTGATTATCACTAATTTCACTCTGTGGAGACTGAGACTGTCAAAAGGGACTTATTTAGAAACATAAATCTGGGATATTAATGGAGATTGGGATGCTAACTCTCATAGATCCCTTTGAAAACACTAGCCACAACTGCTTGAAACACCCCTTTTCTAGGTCTGATATTCAGTGTCATTTTCTACCCTGCTCCCAGCTGTCAAGAGGATGTGGACAGGCATATGTTCATAGGTTTATTGTATGTAAAACATGAAGAAATTTCTCTCACCTGTTCAGTTCTGGTAAAACTTATAAAACTACATCCAGTTTGGGGTGCCACCCTTCATGAGAAAAAGAACAAATTCTGGAGAAGCAAGGGAGAACAGAAAAAATAATTAGAGGATTAGAAAATGTGATCTAGGAGGAAAAGTTGAAAGAATTCAGTTTGCTTTCGTTTGGAGAAGACAGATTGAGAGGAGACATGATAACAGACTTCAGATAGGTAAAAGATTATCACAAAAAAGATAGAAACAGACTTTCATATTCAAAAGAGATAGGACATGAAGTAAATCTGGTTTCAGGATAGATTATTTTAGTATTGAACTAGCTCTTTTGACAACTTCCAGTAGCATGAAGATGGGTGGGCACTGCTTGAGTAGGGGTGACAGAAGAAACCAGGAGCCCTTCACCCTCCCCCACTCTACCTGAGCTTTCTGGCTTTAGCAAGCAGCAGGTTCAGGGCTGCCAACTGTCTGTAAATGTAAGAAAACTCCACAAAAACCAAGCCTAAAAATTCTTGCCTGTAGAGTCCATAAGAAAATTCTGCTTTCTGTAAAAACAGAAGTCACTGGAGATTCAATCAAGTTTGGTGGTCAGAAAGAATCTGGAGGCTCTATTGATGAGCAGATGAAGCACAACATTGCCACCTGGTGTCTTTTCAGGGATTTCTGGCTCATGGGACTCTTCGTAGCTCCTGCCCCTCCTCCCCACACACCCCCCTGCCCACCCCTCAAGCAATATCCTCTTGCTGCTGCTATGTCTCCTTGGCCTTTATCCAGAAATAGATGCAGGATTTTGCAGAGGGGTGCAGGCTTCACCCCCCTGCTCCAAATGTCTTACCCCCCCGCCCCACTAATGGGCAAACCATGCCACAGGAGCCTCTGGAAACTTTTTAAGTCTCAAAAGTAGGTAAGAACCTGCCCCTTCCCCTTCATCCTCATGCCCCCTCCACTCCCCTTCATATCCCTATACCACCTGCCACTGCTGCTCTCTCCAATGACCAAGGGCAGAGGAAGATTCAGAGCTGCTGCTGTCCACTGCAGACAGGCTGTGTGGGGTATGGATCATCTGGGGATAGCAACAGCAGCAATGACAGATGGGTTTGTTCCCCTTCCCAGCACCTGCTCCTTAGGGGACTAGGAAGAGAGGAGGAACCAGTGGGAATAAAGCTGGGGCTAAACTGTGGGGCAGCATGGTGTGGTGTGTGTTTAGGGGTATCTGGGTTTGGGGGTAAGTAGGGACCCCTGTGAGGGGGGGGGCATTGTATAACCAGCTGCTTCAGTCAAGCAGGGTTGCCAATCCAGGAATTTTGTTTTATTGACCATTTACAAACTTTTTACTGATAAACAAATATTTTCATTATGTTTGGTGTTAAACTCCTGCATTTGAATCTGAACCTTGTCCAGGGTTGGCAGAAGGGTTTCATTTACATCATGTGAAATATATGTCAGTTTAAAAAAATGGTTGTCAGGAAAAAGTTTGGAGATTTTTAGTAAAAAAACAAAATGTTTTGGGTTGGTAACCCTGGCAATGGTGGTGAAGCAGTGTGTGTTTCAGTGTAGGGCACTCTAGGAATTGTAGTTCTGTAGAGCAGCAGAGTTCATTGCTGATGTCAGAGATTTTACTTCATTTATTCATGGCAAAAAAATGAAGTGATATCTCTACCCAGCAGCACTGAACTTCGGCTGCCAATTCTGTATACTGCCCACTGCCAAAGACTCTGGAGCCATAAGGTAATGGGGAAGAAGGAGGTAAGACTACCTTGAGTCTATTCCTGGCCAGTTGAGTCTCTGACAACTTTTGTCATGTTAGTGCCAGTCTTATGGTACTTGGTGATTCTTTTAAAGCCTCAAAATCATATCCTATTCCACCTAATAGACACCAAAGTAGATTTAGTCACCCAAGTTTAATTTTATTCTACTTTGCTTGAGCCCAGGGGAAAAAAAACAAAACAAAAAAAACCTAATTCAAAAGGTAAGGAGGTCCTCCTCTTCCTGCTCATTGTTTTTGTGACTTTGTCTTAAAGCTAATATGATTTCCATTACAAAAGTAAACATCTTTTTTTTTTCTCCCTCAGGAGCCCAAACATGGTAGACTGGATAATTTTTATGCACTTAAGCTCACTTAGATGACTGATAGATAGAACAGGTCCTTGAGTCCTGGACAAAAGCACATGCAAGTGATTCAGGATTAACCATAAACTGCTTTTCCATGGGGTTTAGGTAATGAAGCTATTTAAATACTTTAGAAAAATTATATTTACAAATAAAATAATAATAAACTTAGGTTGCTTGCATATCGTCTGCACAATATATGCTGAATTTATTTAATGAAGAAGTTGCAATATTGACAGCATTTAGAAAAGCAGTCTAGTTTTTCTTGGTAAATTCAGGACAAAAAAGTTAAAATGATTACATGCATCATTTGAACAAATTAAATTATTCATCCAAGTTGGCACTTGCTGCCCTTGTATGATCTTGATATGAATTTTACAGCTGTAGAATAATCAATGTTCTACTGTCACATACCATGACAATTCAGAACCCAGTGGAATATACTTGGGATATTTCGAGCCCTGTAGCAGGCTGTATTGAGAGACTGTATTAACAGTCTTCAAGATGACCTCATGTTGTCCCTTCCAGACCTACTTTACTATGATCCTATACAAAGTGAAAATTCTGAAGTATTATATCTTATCTATTAAATATTCACCACACAAAAGAAAATAGGGTTGAGAAGTGCAGGCATCACATGCCTCAGGAAAAAAAACACGCTGGATATTAAGAAGCAATATACATTACCAAAAAAAACAAAAAACAAAAAAGAGAAAAAGTCCAAGTCTAAAATTGCTCCGCTTTTGCTAGTGGTATAAGGATGATAAGATAATAGCCCCACATGTCTTGCTCACAGATGGACACACACATTTCTTTTCCTAGTAACCTTCCCTTTACAAAATGGAAGAACCCTCAGAGTAATATTGCAAACAAATTTCTTCTTTTCAAGGTAGCTATAAGATCTTGATTCTGTGCCATAAATTTCCATTTGACAGCTTTACTATATGAGCATTTATAAGCCAACGCATCTGTCCATTTAGCTATGTATGTATATGCATATTGAAATGTGTGAATATGTATTCATCATACAAAATCTATCAACTCCAATTATTGATTCTATCCTTATCAGTAGTTATGTTTGTATGTATATATGTATCTATGAATTTGAGTTCTTCCTTACTTGTTACACTTAAATTTTAAAACTCCATAACACAGACACATAGAACTGGACGAGGGGTTTAGGCCATTAAGTCTTGAATATACAGTATAGTAGCAAATGAGCTATTCATGGATGTGGGAAGATTTGCTGCCCTACATTAAACACAGGTGTTTTTGTTACGGGTTGGTAGATGAAGCCACAAGCTGCTTGATTTCCTCCAAAATCTTCTGTGCATTGTTAGTCACATTCATTTTTGCTACTTTGAGGAGCTCTTGGATGTCTTCCTTTGGGTAGGATGAAGTAAAGGTAGAATATTTCTTTCTGTAGTCAGCAATTTTACCTACAAATAAATAAAAAATATGTGCGGATAAGTACAAGAGAAAGAAAAATATTCTTTTAGCATTCAAGAAAGTGTTGGCCATTTTGGTGGATAAAGAAAGTGTCATGATTATATTGGACTAATTTTCCAAAAGCAAATTTTAAAAAAATCAAACAAACAAAAATGATATGAAGGACTAAATTTTACATGCCCAAGTGGCCTGTACATATCTGCAAGCTGCAACTTTTAGCACTTACACAACTGGTTTGTATTTCCACTTGTGTTGAAATAGGAGTGTTCTGATATACAAATTCATGCTGGAAGTAAAAAGTGGAGCTGGTAATGGGCCCTCTCATCTTTTATCCCAAAGATAAGAACATTTGTCCACAGAGTGGAAAACAGTGTGTCAACCTATATCTCAGCAATCCACTTTGCCTACCCCAACATGGGTCAAACATTAGAAAAAAGCACTCTCCAGTCCTCCTCATGAAGCTGGCCTACTGGACTATCAGAAGGAGATGATGCATGCAGCCAAAGGTAGTAGGCAGAAGGTGGGGGCTTAGTGAAATAAATACCATTCTGATAACCAGGGAGCTTCTGTTCTGGCCCTAACCCTAATGGATTTTCTGAACATGGTACTGAATAAACAGCAGTAGAATAGTTTCTACCCCTACAGGGGACAGGCAGCTAGAAGCTGGGCCTCCTGCTCTGTGGGCAGATATTTAACTACTAGGCAAAAAGGTGGTATCAAGCTCCAACTAAACATGGATTTTTTGGTGCATACTGTTACACAGGTGCCTGGGAAGCCATGTGCCTGCACAGCCCATGCACAGCTTGTGCTGGGAGAGAAAACAAAGGGTAAATATTTCTACATAGAATCCAAGCTGTGCATAAATGTCAAAAACTGTGGTAATGTGACTATGAAGGTGTCTCATAGGTCCTCAAGTCTCCTGCTTTAGGCAAAGAAACTGCCCACTTCCTCTTAGCCTATTTTGTTTTTTTATATTTTTCTCATGGTAAGTCTCTTCCCCTGTTCTGAAAGTTCTGGCACAGGCAGGGCCGTCCCTGGGGAGGGACGATTCGGGGTGACCACTACGGGCCCCACCTTTTGAGGGGCCCCATGGAGCTGGGCAGAGCGGCCGCGGAAACTCCGCGCTGCCACTGCTTGGTTCGTGTCCAGCCACTCACTACCCCCGTCCTGCTGCTGCTGCCACTGCTGATGGCAGTGGCAACTTCTTTGGGTCCAGGGCGCATGGGATCAGAGTCGAGGCGGGGCCCTGCATGGGTTGATTTGCCCTGGGCCCCACACCCTGATCAGGTCAGCTTTGTGTACAGGCCTGTGCCTAAGATAGGGCATAGCCTGGATGAAACCTGCTTTGATTGTTCATATCCATCTTGTGTTCCTATGTTCATCCCCACCAGTACTGCTCAGGATATAGCCTGTTTAAGTTATAAGTGTTGAGGAGATGCTTTAAGAGACATTAAGTAAGTTACCAGGACAGTTGATGTTGTTGAAGAGTGGGAAGTGCATAACAGTAGGCACATTAACACCTGTGAAGATGTAGCAGTCAGATGGGTTATCAGTATCCTTCAGTTTTTCTTCATCAACTTTGGGAAAGGGGATCTTGTTTGCCTGGCAATATTTAACTGTTTTCTTGATGGTCTGTAAAAGAAGAAAAGGGCAACATTTTCCCTTAGGTTAGGTCTGAAAGCAAAGGCAATTTATCCCACACCTTCCCCCAGACACAGCCATAATCATTCTGATGTATTTGTTTAAAACTCTTATTAATCATAACCTAATGTAGAAAAATGACAGTTTTCAATCAGGGGACCTCTAAAGGAGCTGACTAAGTAGAGAAACCTCTGTAGAAGCCACAAACTCTCATACTGAAGTATTTTATTGTAAACATCTTTGTGTAACAACTAGGGGTGTGAGAAATGGGCCGTATTAAATTCAGAATTGGATTCATCCCGAATCAGGGACAGTGATTTGATTAGTTGATTCAGATCACTGTCCCTGATTCGGAGATTTGGCCACTGTACTGGGCTGAATCTCTGCTGAATTGAATCAGGGACTGAAGCTTCGCAGAGCCTTAGTAGGAACCCAGGCTCACGTGCATAAACAAACTCTGCCTGAGATTTTCAAAACTAACTGAAGGATTTAGAGCCCCAACAAAATGAATAGGAAGCTATAATCAAAATGCTCTGGAGGAGTTTGAAGTTCTCAGACTCTGCTCCAAAGCAGGGGCTGGTTCTAGAGTCTCAGCACCAAAGTCTAGTCCTCCCTCATTTGAATCTTAGGGGGTGAAGTCACAGATATTAACAATCAGTTTGTTGTTGTGATAGTTGAAGTCATTAAGAGGATAAAATATCATGTGCACTTTATTACTGGGGACAGAATAGCCTGCTCTTTGCTCTGGTCTGTGGGTAACAGTGTTTATCAGGGTTAGGCTAATATTGCAGTTTATTGAGATTTTATTATTCAAACTGGTAGATGTCTGAGTAGGAGTTACTCAAGCGACATCCCCATTAACTTGAGCCAATCCCTTATGAAAATAGCTCTTGGGTGGAGTTTTAGCCAGTGTGTCCATGTTCAAAAATGCGATCCTTGCAGATTTGTCTTTGATGGGTTTGAGAATCTGGCACCCAGAATATGAGTTTGCTGATAGTGACAAGTGAGGAAAAGAAGTTAGCTTCCCCTGTGTGGCAGGCCTAACATATAACATTTTTTTCTTTAATTTTGTCATTAAAATCAGGAAATAACTCCTGCATACCCACGTAACATGCTTGTGAAGTCAGAAGTTGCTAGTTTTATACAAAGAAGACCTGAACATTATGGGATTTCCTCTGGATCTATGAATTCCCAAAGTAAATGCAGGGATGGGTTATCTTTGTTGGACTTGCTCATACCTTCTTACTCCAAACCCAAATGAACTCATAGCTCCTGTAAGTTGTACTTATTACTTATTTTCAATGGATTATATATTATAGCATTTCTCAAACTCTGATTTGTAGAATACCTCCTGTGAATCCACTGAGATGCATCTCAATAACCATAAAACAAAACAAATCTTCAGTCCATGGGCCATGCCTCCTTTGTGTTTGTACAGTGCCCAGTATGATGACCCTGAAAGAAGCATCTAGGAGCCAGTAAGAGAAAAAGAATAGTTACCTCAAAAGGATCTCCAGAGCTGAAATCAAAGGAGAGGATCAATTTTACTTTCCTCTCTGGCCGAAGAGCCAGAGGATAGGCAGAGTTTATGGCAAGGCCGGCATCAATAAAGGAGGTGACTCTGTCTTTGACCATGTCAGTGGACTTAATATTAGCTGATAAAGTAAGAAGAATCTTAATTTTAATATTGAAAAGTTAGTCTCCACCTACACAATAGCAAATAAGCTTTATAAATGGGTTTCAAGAAGAATGTGTGCGTCCATTTCAAGTCCATTTCAGACTGCTGCTCAAAGTCCATTTCTAAGTCGCAGAGTCCCCGATTTAGGGAAGAAAAACATCACATAAAAATATGTGGCCAATCATATCATGAGCAAACTAAAAAATGGAAGAATTGCTCAGAGCTATAGAATGACTAAATAGCTTTTGAGTGAGCTAAAGGATAGTCATGTGGTTCAACTGCTAAATTGAAAATCCAGGTTCAATAACTAGGCTTGGCACAAAGTCATAATGAGACTCTGGGCAAGTCAATCTATTATTTTTTTCTGTCCTTCACTTCAAAAGGGTAACTGAATGAAATTCTTCACTGTGTTGTGAAGGGAAATTAGACTAGATAACCTCAAGCTCCCTTACTGTCTTAGAATCTATGGATGTGTCTACACGTAACTGTACGGTGATATTGCTGCAGCACCATGCTTTAGTACTTCCAAAGGGAAGTGTTTTGTGTGCCCTAATACGGGCACCTGTGTAGATACTGAAACACTTACTGTGCAGTTAGTCAGCTGTGCAGTAAATGTCTCATGTAGACATGCCTGATGTCAAGTTAAACAATAAAGACATAACAAATGTGACACTTATGTTTTAAATATATTTCCCCTTTTCCCATCCTTCACCCCATGCTGCCCTTCAGTGGCCATCACATAGTATAACTATCCCTTTTCATTCTTGTCTGCCAGGTTTATCAGTGGTAATCACTGTCAAAACACGCACCTGAAAAGGGAAGGTTCTAGTCTCAATGCACAGTTTTCTATGATGACAAGTCAAGGCAAATAAACTGTTTTCCTTACGGCATTTGTAAAGGAAGTTGCTGGTGGTTCCCCATGTCCAGCTGAGTAGACACGCTGCTGTTTTTGTTGTCACCCTATGGGCATCCAAAACTGGAGCTAGGATTGGGCATTAGTAAAGAACACAATAAAAATCAGTAGAAGATTAATTACATACTGTCTCTTTGGCTTCTCCAGGAAATGGAGGAGTTGCTTTGTCTTGGCTAGTAAGACATGCAGGTTGTATAGATGCAGACTAGGTGATGGCTTTGTGTCTGCAGACACAGCCTTGTGCTGGGCTGATTGAACAGAGTTGAATTCATTCATGGAGTGCAATTGGACTGGAACTGATTTAGTTATCTAATTGTGAATTCCAGTGTAGACACTTAAATTGTGATGTAAATGAGGCTTTTTAGTATATGTCTATTCTCCAGCAATTCAATCAAAACCCAAATATTATTTAAACAACATCAAAAGACCTGGGAACTGAATATCCAAATTCTTTAAGAGAGTTTAAAAATCTCAGTCCTTCCTTGTAATGAGGGACTGAGGTCAGAAACGTAGCATCAAGACACAAGACTTTCTCTTTTTCAGGAGAAAAAATAATGATTCTTTGACATTGATAATTTGTATAACATCCCCATTACAACAAAATGTTGTTTGAAAGCATTTTAAAAAGTCAGCAATTTAGAAATGAAATGTTTGATTTTTCATTTTGCAGTAATGCTTCATTAATTTTAACTGCAATATTTTATTTTATTTAGTATTTACGAAAAGTATTGTTTTTTTAAGTTAGAAGCGGAACAGAATAGATTGATTTTACAGTAAACAAAGCATTCTATACAACCCAAACCCTTTCGTTTCATTTTGCAGAAAAATATTGATTTTTGTTTTTTATTCAGAGAAAGAAAAAAATCTAAATTTTTACCAGCAATGCTATGAAATTATGTGAAACAAAATCATATGAGCAAATAGATATGAGCTTCCAACATAGCTGTGTCTCTTCCAAATTCGGTAGCGGATTTTATCTTGGTCCATATATGAAGTTTGGAATCCTTATCAGACTGGAAACAACTGAGGGCATACTCCAAATTATTTGTTGCTGTGTCACATACTTCTTCCTCTCCCAGATAGGTTTCCTATACCACATATGCAGGCTGGGAAAAATCATACTTCACTTGTGTTGAGGACATGCTTGGAATGCACTGAGTGGCCCTTACAACATGTCACTTCAACCCCAAACTGTGCCTTTTTGCACAGAGTGAGCTGACCATTACCATCTGGCATTAGATAGACTTTATTATTAGCTAAGGCATTTAGGCCATTTGTAGACAACACTTTAAAGAGGGGTTAAAGCAGGTTAAATGCCTTTTGCACCACGTTAATGGCATTACTGTTTGCATGATTTTGCAAATTCGGTTGGCATATTGTTTATTAATTTCATCCACTGCAGCACGTTCAACAGCATAATGCGCCTTAAAAGACTTTGGGACGCAGCAAATGACTTTGGGGCGCTGCAAAGTAAAACACCTCCAAGGAGTTTTAGTTTCCTACCCTACAGTCATGGAGGGAAGCAACGGACTCTGTGCACCTCAGGGGGTCTGGAGGCAGACCGTGCAGGCAGCTGGCAGCAGTCCGGGAAGGCAGGCTCCACAGAAGGGAAAAAAAAAAGTGGTGAGCCTGATCTTTCCCCCCCACCCGAGCCTGCCTGCCTGCCTGAGGTACATGGGGTCCCGGTGCTTCCCTCCACGGCTGCAATGCCCCCTGGGACTGCCCGAGCTGGGTGCCACCTGGGGAAGCCCCCGCCCCCCCGCTGCAGCTCAGTTTGCTCTCCCATTCCCACTGCCAGAGAGGCAGGGAAGGATAAGGCCTTGACATGGGTGTACACAACACGGGGATTTACTTAAGGATAAGGCTCTGACATGGGTGTACACAACACGGGGATTTACTTTGCCCTCAATTGAAGCAGTGTTTTTAAAAACTGCGTCATCTACAAATGTCCTTAAAGGCCCCTTGGTGGTGGAATGGCTGCAAAAGCCAATACCCATCAGGTTAATTTCGTGAAATGCTTGTCTTCCCACAGAATGCCATTTATTTTATTAACTCATAGATTTCATAGATTTCATAGACATTAGGACTGGAGGGGACCTCAGAAGATCATTGAGTCCAGCCCCCACAACTGAAGGGCAGGAAGTCAGCTGGGATTATAGGATCCCAGCAAGATAAGCATCCAATTTACTCTTGTGAACTCAGTGAACTAGATTTACTTCTCAAGACAACCAGACATCAGTCAACTGACATAAACAGTGACATCAAAGTGAATATGGGGCAAGACAAAGGAGAATGTACCCGAAACTACATAGAACCTACATAACAGCCTACCAAAAATCAGTGAAATGGCGCTTCTTTCTTTCTCCTCAAATGCTGTAAAGTGTACATTTGGACTCTCTAGGGGGGGAGATAACAATACAGTTATAATCAGTAATAGATGTAAACAGCATAATTAAGGATAACCACTTTTGGGGAAAGGATATTAAGCTGCTTTCTTCAGGTTTTAAACCAAATTTTAGTCACTGGAAATAAGGATAAGAGATCATAACTTTACACCTTTTTCTTCTGGGAGGTTCTTGCAGCTGTCTCTAAGAGAGATATAGTTCTGGACATTACCAGAGACAGGACACTGGGACAGGTGGACCTAGGCTCTGGTTCAACAAGGCTATTCTTGTGCTTCCAGGTTCTTTGTGGAATCTGTTGAAAGCTAAACTAAACCCAGAAGATTCAGGGTAGTCTTCTTTGGGTTACAGGGTTCAAGACCATACTGACTATTCTGCACAGAACAAGTACTGTAAGAAACACAAGAACTGCCAGAAATGCCGCCTTTTCATTTCATTTGCTTCATCTATGTTCTGCGCAACCTTGGCAACTTTCCTAATTTGGACACTATCCCTCCCACAGTGTTGGACATCTGTTCCTTCCTCACTGTCTAGACAGTTGAAGTGCTCCTCCAAACTACCTCCTCCTCCTTTTCTTGATTGCCATGTCTTCTTTTAGGCTTCAAGAGCATCCTCTTCTCTTACAGCCTGCCAAACTTTAGCCTCTCATCTTCTTTTCCTGTATCAGTCTGACTATTTCAGCTTCTCCTTTTTCTGCTTTCTCATGCAGGTCACAAGCAGGTCTAATTTAGAATCACATAATCATAGAATCATAGAAAATGAGGATTGGAAGGGACCTCAGGAGGTCACATCTAGTCCAACCCCCTGCTCAAAGTAGGGCCATCCCCAACTATATAATCCCAGCCAAGGCTTTGTCTAGCCAAGTTAAAAAAACCTCTAACAATGGAGAATTTACAACCTCTCTGAGTGACCTGTTCCAGTGCTTTATTACCCTCCTCGTGAGATATTTTTTTTCCTAATATCTAAGCTAAATTTCCCTTGTTGCAACTTGAGACCATTTCTTCTTGTTTTGTCATCTACCACCACTGAGTACAATCTAGCTCCATCCTCTTTCGAACCACCCTTCAGGTACTTGAGGGCAGCTATTAAATCCTCTTTCAGTCTTCTCCACACTAAATACACCCAGTTCCCACAGCCTTTCCTCATAACTCATATGGCCCAGTGCCCTAACCATTTTCACTGCCCTCTGTTGGACTCTCTCCAATTAGTGTCCATCCTTTCTGTAGTTGGGGGCCCAAAATTGGACACAGTACTCCAGATGTAGCCTCACCACTGCCTCACTTCCCTCAATCTGCTGGCAATGCTCCTACTAATGCAGCCCAGTATGCTTTAGCCTTCATCTCAACAGGGGCACAGTGTTAGCTCATGTTCAGCTTGTGGTACGCTGTAACCCTGAAGTCCTTTTCTGGAGAGCTGCTGCTTACCCAGTTGGTCCCCAGCCTGTACCAGAACATGGGATTGTTCTGTTGTAAGTGTAGGAATTTGCACTTGTCTTTATTGAACCTCAAGGACTTCTTCTGAGACAGAGGTGAGCAGCCAATCCTCCAACTTGTTGAGGTATCTCTGGATCGTAGCCCTACCCTCCAGTGTATCTACTATTCCCCCCAACTTGTAATCTGCAACCTTACTGAGGGTGCACTCCACCCCATTGTCCAAGTTGTTGATGAAGATATTAAGCAAAACTGGTCCTAGGACCAACGCCTGGGTGCCTCGACTTGATACAGACTGAAAACTAGACATAAAGGCATTAATTACTACCCTTTCAACTTGATGGTTCAACCAGGTTTCCATCCAACTTATAGTCCATTCATTCAACCTGTACTTCCTCAACTTGTCTGCAAGAATGCTGTAGGAGATGGTATCAAAAGCCTCACAGAAGTCAAGGTATACCATATCCACTGTTCTCACTTCCTCCACAGAGCCAGTCATCTCATCAGAGAAGGCAATCAAGTTGGTCAGGCATGACTTGCCCTTGGTGAATCTATGCTGACTGTTCCTAATCACCTTTGTCTTCTCCAAGTGCTTAGACATGGATTCCTTGAGGACCTGCTCCATTATTTTTTCCAGGGACTGAGGTGAAGCTGACTGGTCTATAGTTTCCCAGATCCTCCTTTTGCCCTTTCTTAAAGGTGGGTATTATATTTGCCCTTTCGCAATCATCTGGGACCCCACCTGACCACCATGAGTTTTCAAAGATAATGGCCAGCGGCTCCATGATCACATCTGCCAACTCTCTCAGTACCCCCAGGTGCATTGTATCTGGCCCCAAAAACTTATACATATCAAGCTTTTCTAAGTAGTCTGTAAAATTTTCTTTCAACACTGTTGGCTGCTCACCTCTTCCCCAAAGTGCTGCCAGGTGCAGTAATTTGGGAGCTGACCAAGTTAGACCTGCAAACTCCGACTGCTTGTCTCAGTTTATGTGCACCCTTCCCTCCTCCTCTCTCCCATGCTGCAGCTGCCTCGAGCCCGTGCCTGGGATGCCTATATTTGTGGGGGGCTAAACCCCCTTAGCCTTGCACTTCCACTGCCTATGAGGACACTAGAGTAAAAATAAAGATTGACAAAGAAGTCTGTAGTCTACACTGTGTAACAATATAGCAACTTACCAGGATTTGGTGAAACATGATCTTTTTCTTTCTCCCCTGATCCTTTAAAGAATTCAGTCAGACTATCTATGTGGATATAACAATAGTTATTTTCATTACTAGTCATAGCCAATCTAATTAATGATATCAACATTTTGGAGAGGGGATATTAAGTCTCTCTCTTCAGGTATTAAGCAAAACTCTAGTCATCTCAGAAAAGGATGGGAGGTAAGGCACATTGTTTCATCCCTCTACAGTGTAGCATGACCATACATCCTATTTTCACTGGAACAGTCCCTTTTAAATATCTGTCCTGAGCATTTTATCAGTCTGGCCAAATGAGCACATTTGTCCCATTTTCGGTGGAACATCCGGGATAAAAGTTGAAAGCCCCTCTCATCCTATTCCCTGTTCCTCCCCCACTCCTGTTGTCCAGTGCCTCACATTCTCTCCTCTACTCCACAACATGCTCAGTTGAAACTAGAACTGGGAGGCAGATGTATGTGCCAGAGAGCAGGGGGGGAAACAGTGTTCCATTCTAAAACCAGGGAAATATGGTCCCTGTACTATTGTGGAACTCTTATATATGTCTAAGAAGCATATTGTCCTGGACATTACCAGAGACAGGATACTAGAATAAATGGACCTTGGGCTCTGGTCCAATGAGACTATTCTTATGTTCCTAAGATATTTATTGAAAGCCACAAGGTTCAAAGAAGCTTCATTTGGATTACAAAGTCAGAAAACATGTCCCTTGTTCTGCAGGGCACAACTATTGTAAGAGAAAACAGCACTGACTGAAGTGCAACTTTCTAGTCTCCTTCTCCTCATCTATGTCTTTGGCAACTTCCCTTACACAGTGTTGGAAATCTGTGCCTTCGTCAAGATGGCTAAAAAGTTCCAGCAGATCAAATGTCTCTTCGTGAACAATGTCCTCCACAGCTGCACCCTGATCTACAAGGTGGGTCATGTCTCTCTCCTGCCTATCATCCTCCAGCCAAGCTAGTTGCCAGATACATAGGCACCAAGCATGTGAGGGCCCGAGGGTCTGTTTTCCTTTTGGCCCCAGAATTATTGTATTTCTGGCTTCCCACTGGCCCAATTTGTACAGGAATGGATGCATTATGCCCATATCTTATTTGTACATTGGTGGTTAGGGAAGTCCACAAATCTCCTCAGTGGGAATGTCTACACGTGAAATTAAGCACGCCTAAATTTAGTGTGTATTAGCTTAATGCATATTAAGTGGGTTTGGAAGGCATCTACATGTGCAGGCATTAAAATGCATTAACGCTGTTTGTGTGGACTGACTGGGAACTAAAGTTAATCCCCAGTCAGTCCCTATACACAGTGTTAATGTGGTTTAATACATCTACATCTTTGTGAATGCATTTTAACTAATCATGCCTAAATTTGATACCTGTGTTTGCTGGTATCGAATATAGGTGCAAATTTAGGCCATTTTAAATGTACATTAAGGGTGCACACATGTAGACAGGCAGCCTTAATGCACATTAACTTAGGCTACTGTTAATTAAAGCATCACATGTAGAAATGCCCAGTGGGGGAGGTAGACTTGAAATCTAGGTCTCCTACTATGCTGAGAAAATCCTCTAAGCAGAAGGATTTTGAGTGGGAGGTGAATGTTCCACCTGTCAGTTCAGGTACTTTGATGTAAATTCAACTGGAGGCTGGAATGATTTCTATGGGATATTGCTATACCTTTATTCTAAGGAACATGTTAAAATTGAGGGATTAGATACCTTCAGTCCAATAGAATACAAATTTTGAATACCTCGTAATAGTTTTTTAATTTCCTCTATATTTCCAAGTGCACTTCCCCATAAGCCTGAAATTAGGAAGAACATGTAATTATAGTAACCATTTTACAGAGGTTTCAATGAAAATCAGTAAAATTTCCCTTAATCAGCTAACTACATTGAACTGAACCTGGAGACTGAGTTGAAAGGATAAATGTCTAATGTCTAAACTTGACAATGTAGACTGTCAGTCCAGGGTCACTAGGGTGCTCCTAAAGCTTTAGTTTATTCAGCCATCAGAAGGAAATGAAGAGCTAGAGTTTTTTTTTATTGTCGTTTTTATACATATTTTATTACCTAAGGATTCACCATTTATGTATCTAACTAGTCTCTTAGTGAAATTGGTACTCAAGTTTCTAATGTAATTAATACACGCAAAGAATCCTAAAAAATATAAAAAGCATTAGTAAGCTTTCAAAGTCAAGAAAACTCTCTCTGTGTAACAAGAAACCCCTTCTCCTGTTACTAGTAAGGCCACAGAGATGAGACAATCCAAGGCAGCAGTGCAGGTGGAGCGAGCCTGGCACTGATAAAAGCAGTAACAAGCAACTGACCACACCTTGTTGCAGGATGCAGCAGGCCTGGTCAGGTGAACAGAAGTAGGTGGGGTTAAGGGGATTTAAACCCAGCCAAGGATAAATCAAGGCAGGTAGGGAGGAGAGAAAAGAGGGGTGTGGGTGTTTTAAGGGAATGGGAGAGGAAGCACCAGGCAGGTACAGGCTGCTTTGATTAAGTGGAAGACTTTGTATTCTGATTTCAGGGCAGACAGTTTGTACCTTTTTGGTTTATTGTTTGATTTAATTTGGACTTGTAAACCAGAGGAACGGGTTGTGACTACAGGGGAGGAAGAGGCTGAATATTGGGGGCTAAGGGGCTCCTGTTTGTTTTGACACAGAGGCTAAAGAATACACCCTGAGCTAAAGTAGACCCTAGCTCTTAGAACTGGAATTATAAAGAAGTGTGAGTTGAAGCCCAAAAACTGAGGTCATTGATAATGGGCAGAGGTTGGTGTGGCCAGGGAGAAAAAGGGGCCTGGACATTAACAGCTGAACCCTGACAAGACCTCAGAAAACCCACAAGGACAACCCCATGAAGGCAGGAACCCATGCATGGGTGCGCAGGGGCAGGGCACGAATAAGGTGGCGTGCCTGCTGGTGATGGCCAGGCAGCTTGTGGAGCTACTGCCAGTCCTAGAACTTCCTTCTGTCTCCCAATATCTACTGACATCAAAGTCATGGCAGGTGAGTAACAGAGGCATAGAGGGCTGGGAGAGAGTAGTAGCAAAGCAGGAGTAACAGTGGAATAGAGGGCTGGGAGAGAGTAGTAGCAAAGCAGCATGGCTTCTACAGATAGTTACAATTTGCACATTATGGTGCTTTAGGCATTCACCTTCCAAGTAGCAGATGTTTTTCTCCTTTTTCTTTACTTTTAACTCCCCATTCTCAAAGTCACTTCCAAATAGACCGGTGTTTATAAATGCTCCTACAGCAGGATAGCCAACTTCATGAGGGGTAAATTCAAGCCAGGTCTCTGTGTGGGGTGTGGAAAGTATTTGAAAAAGAAACTGCCGGAAAATAAATAATTTCCCAGTCATGAGAGATTGGCAAGAGGTGTCCATCTTGAAGGGGAATAGGAAATGACTCCAGAAATGACCACATTGATAAAGCAACTCTCCACCTCCATTTTCAAACCCTCCCCTTGAACCACAGTGTGAAGTTGTAACCTTTTCTCCCCTCACAGGCTCATCACAGTTCTATCCCTGCCTACATCAGATCTCAAACCTCGCTGCTCCCTCCTCACATTCAGAGCTTCACACTTAAGTGAGTTTCTTTCTCCCATGCCAGATACAATGCCTGCTTCCATAATGGCTCTTCTACCTGGAATCCTAGTCCTAAATCAGAAAGGGGTAGAATTAAAAATCTCATTGATGCACTTCTGTCCATGATTCAGGCCTTACATCTGCAGGAATGATACTAAAAGCTAGTTCTAATTACTAGTGGTTTAGGAGATTATAATGAACAGGGACTCTACGTAAAAGCCTCTGTACTTGCAGAAAGAGACAGACCCTTTTGATGGCCAGAGGGATTGTGGGTGGATGATGTATAGGCATGCACTGATTTCATTGCTTGTAATTGGATGTTACCTGGGAGGCTTTCATGTCCTTTGTTCAATCTTTTATTATCTGCAGCAGCATAGATAGGATAAGGGTTTTTTCCACTTTCTAAGGAAGTCTTTTGTTCAGATAACCCACTTTCATCAAACTGGTAAGAGAACAGATTTATTTGTACAGGTAAATAAAGCCTTTGTTTCAGTAATATACATTTCAGTTGACCTGGTTGGAAAATAAGCTGTTATTCTCCCAAGAAAAGAGAAAAAAAATATTTTCATCTAATGTTTTTCCTTAAAATCATTCATAGTTTCATTGCAAAACTGAAAACATATGAATTGATTTTGTTTTTAATTTGTAATTATTTTTCAGCAATAAAGAATTGAATTAATCGGCTATGAAATTTTTAAAACACTTCAGTTGCTGAATATGAACAAAATGTTTATTTCAGATTTTAAAGACATGTCTTTCTTTTTCCTTTTTAAGCAAACCTCAAAACATGTTGACAAAAATGGGTGTTTTCCACATTTAGAGGGAAAAAAACAACATTTTCCATTGCAAATATTTAATAAATTTTGGTAAAGTTCTAATTGGTAGCTTTGTATTAAAGTCCTCTACATCTCAGTCCTCTGCTTATGCTATATCCTTTTAGACACTTGAGGCAATGTTCTATTTCACCTATATGGCATCTAGGTGGATTTAGTGTGATTTGAGTCTACTCTGCTCAAGTCCCTGAAACACTATTAATGCATTTTTGTAATAAACTGATATATTGTCCTTAAGAGTCATTCACAAAAAACCAATAAAAATAAATAAACAAAACCAGCAAGAGGGAGGAAAACCCATCTTTTGCCTTAACTGTTTTCGTTTGTTTTGTTTTGTTTTCCAGGGACACTACCAGTGTAGAATAGGATCATCATTAAGTGCCTAAGTCAACTTAGATGTGTAATAGGTGAAATAGGATTTGGCCCTTGGTCTTCAGCCTTACATTCAATGGAGTTCATAGTGCCAATGGAGAAGATAAACAACTGAATGGGAAACATGCACCTTTTTACATGAGGTCTGTATCTGGCACTTTGAAGACCGGGATTACAACCAGGAATGTATTTGACTTAGTGCCTCACTTATTTTTGGATTTTACTACTTTCTGTTACCTTGGGTGCAATCATTTAATATAGACTTCTGAACACTTTCATTTATCTATATATTGATTTATAGATGTAGAGTAAGATAGATAGATATCTCTATCTATCTATCTATCTATCTATAGAGAGAGAGATCGATCTATCAATATTGATATCTATATATCTAGATCTAGATATATAGATAAAATTCTGTATAGAAGATATATAAGAAGTTGTAGATATAGAATTTTATATATATATATAATGAGAGAGAGTTGTTATTCTATTCCCTTCCAGGTTGTCTAAATGTACAGTTTGTTATCTACATGGCATTTAGGTTGTCTAAGTGCCAAAATGGCACTTATTTTTGGATCTCTATTCCTGAGTCCATAGCCCTGTGTGCAAGAATGACCACATATGAGTACATGGCCTTACAGATGAGACATATGCAGTAGCAGCTGGGATATTAGGTACACCCCTTGTGGACATGCAACAACCTTAAGTACCTGGAAATGGAGTCATCCATTGTCTATGCGTTCTGGATTCCACAGTGTCTACCCCTGCCACCCCCAATTACACAATGGCTGATGCACTCACCTGAGAAGCCAGAGGGGCTGGGTTCTAGCCCTCCTCACACAAGCCACAGGGGGCTTTGACCTTGGTCTATCTGACTTCTGAGGACAGCATGCTAACCACCATAACACAGGTCAACTATTAGTCATTGACTTTTCTGCTTGTCACTTAGAAGCTGGCCACCTGGGCAGCCACAAGAGGGGAGTCTGTAGAAGAAGCACTGAGAAGTGAGTGAGCCAGTGGGTGTGTGGTCTCATGATGTGGCTGCCCTTCTGGAAGGAGTCTGAGTCTAGAGCTATGCTGTCAGTGAGACAGAAGCTTCCTTTTGTCCTCCACCCATTTTGACTAATTACTATATTATTGGCTCATCTTCAAAAAGAGCTTCACAGAAAAGCAGTTAATGGTTAACTTATGGTATAATGTTTAGAGCGCTGTGCTGGGAAGGCAAAGAGACTTGAGGACAAACTTCTTCTGGGTGAGCTGACCCAGTCCCATGACCAACTTCCTAGATGAGCATCCTATAGCCACAGAACTACTGGGGAGAAAATGCAGCCTCACTCATATTCTGTTGCCAGTGAAAATGCCCAGTCTGTGAACTTCTATAGTCATCCATCTGCACAAGGCTACATAGCCAGGAATAGAATTCCAACCTATTCATAAATGGCATTTCTGGTACATATATGACTAAGAATGCCATGTGGATGACCAAAAAGATGGCCACCTAGATGACCAGGAACAAATAGATTGTAGCCTAAAAATGGACCCTTTGCATTTACATCATTATCATTTGTATAGAAACAGAAGGGAGAGGGTAATTTTTCCCTGGTCTAAAATTAACTTTAATCATACTGGGGTTTTGAAACCCAAAGGCAGTTTTTAAACTCTTAGTCATAGAATGTACCACCTACCTTATGCAATATTTTATAGATCATAAAGGAAACCCAGAAATCAGTCAGGGAGTAGTGTTCTTCCTTTGATGCTTCCACAACTGTGCTTATTGCTTTATTTTTGTCCCAGGAGGATTCAACTAATGTTTGACACAGTTTTTTTTCCAAGTCCTGTAAGTGTTCTGTCCACTCCTTATCCTTGTACAGGTAGGTCATGCACCTTTTGGTGAGATAATAGACATGGATGAATTAGGGAGGTGGGGGGGTGGGAAGATTTCCGTTTCCTCTTGCACACATAGGCTGGGGATTGAGCACTCCTAGTGTAAGTTCATTTCTTAATATTTTCCATGTGAAACCAGGATCATTTCTATTCTAGTATTCATGGGCAGAGATATTGGCAAGGAAGATTTGCACTGAATCTATGAATAGTACATAGCTTATAAACCACATGTTAAGAAGAATAATACCCAAAGGCCATTGATTCTGCCAAGGAACACACACACTGATTCTTAATACAGTTGATGTGGACCTACCAGGTGGAACCGGACACACCATACAGGTACAGGATGGCATCCAGTAGACCCTGTTGCTTCATCTCCACTAACGTACCCTGTAAGGATATCATGGCCCGCAGAGCTCCACCTGATGCCAACAAGGTAATATTTGGTATGTTATCCTGAAAGTAGGGAGATAAATTTAGTGAGCTACAAATTCTGTACAATCTCAGTTATTCATAACTTTGTATTATTTCTTCCATCATATTCACAGCAAGGTCATACACAGGGTGCCATTTTTTATCTAGGATGATTCCTATAACTTGTATCATTACACTTTTATATCAGGGAGTATTCTATGTGCATATATAAGTAGTTACAGCTGGGCTGGACCCAGACCCTCAGCCATAAACATTCAAAAGATCTTGCACTGTAATTTCAACATGGAGTCCTGTTCTGTGTCTGGCTTTGTACCTTTGAGAGTTTATTTAAAAAAAAAAATCCCAGTAGTTTTCATGTCATTAGCCTTTTCACTAAATAAAAATAAGTAAAAACAGAAAACAAACTCCCTTCTCCCCCCCTCTCCCCCAAATAGAAGTGTGTTTAATCAATCTCTGGGCTTAACTACAGAATTTACTTGGGGTACATGGTTTGAGGAAAAAGCTTCCCCACTCATTCATAAAGGAGGCACAAGCCCCAAAGTATACACTATGGTGTGTGTGTTCATGATTTGGTTTGGGGTTTGTTTTATTTTTTTATTTTTTGGGGGGGGGGCGGGGAATTTTTAAATGAAGTGGCTGCAACTATATTCTATCTGGGTCCCTGATCCAGTGTATGTTTGATGTTCTCTGATATACCTATCCCTTTGTACTCCTCGGGGATTTACTCAGAGGAGTGTCTAATCTCTTGTTTCTGATCATACTTAGGCACTGAGCCGAAGTCAGTTCTGGGATGTGAAGAAATGGAAGTCTGAATGCTCAGGGAGATTTTACAGTTCAACATGACAGTCTCTCATGAGTTTCAGTGCCTGCAGAGTCAGATTGCAGATGAGCAGGTTGGAGTTTTTTTTAGATCACATTTTAGGATTTAGTTCCTTTAGTCTGCTTAAATGCTGTTCCAGGTGTATAAGACCTTCAGGTTCTTATTCTTTTAACTACTGGTGAAAGAACTTGTGCTTTGGCCAATAAAGATATACTTAGCCCATGATGTTCCTGCCTGTGTCACTGTAATTTGCTTTCCTGGCATTTGGAGAACACCTTTATGGGATAGTCTCATAAAGGAATTTACCCCAGTGTCCCAGCCATCCAGGTTTTTTTTCATACACATGGCTAACAAACTCCATTGTTCCCCTTAATGTTATAGGGAACAGAGATATACAGCCATACCTGGTCACAGTGCATCCCAAGGCTTTCCAAACACTTCATCACTTTTGCCTTTCTGAGCCCAATGGCTTCTTTCTCACCCTCGGAGAGATCATGGGAAAGACGGACTTTTTCATCACCCTGTAGAAAGAAAAAAAAGGTCGGGGGGAAGAAATTCATCTTCTCACCAAAGGCTTCCAGGGTACGCAAGACCAGGGGTTGTATACACAGGGCATAGTCTCCTAAAGGTTATCCAGGATTTACTATTATTATTTCTATTAGCAAATTGCCTGTCAAGAGTGATGGCAGGGGGGGGGGGGGGGTCAGATCCCCCCAGGTCCCCCCCCCCCCCCCGCCACTTTGGGTCTCAGCCTGCTCCCCCTCCGCTGCTTTGGGTCCAACCCCATTCCTCCTCCCCCCGCTGCTTTGTCTGATTCCACTCCCCCCCACACTGCTTTGGGTCCAGTCCTACTCCCCCCACACTGCTTTGGGTCCAGTCCCACTCCCCGCACCTACCTGCTGCTTCAGGTCTGACCCCACTTCCCCACCCCCAACACTTTGATTCCAACCCCACTCCACCCCTCTGCAGTTTCCTGCAGTATCAGGCTGTGTGGGCCCGGCAGTAGCACAAACTTGGGCCCACACAGCCTGAGGCCCCTAGCCAGAGTATGCACAGTTGGCCCGAAGTGTTACGGATGGACAGACAGACAGACACAGACACACATATAGACAGGCTAAGCCTTTTATTATATTAGAGCTATAACAGTTGCTTGCAAGTCTCCATCAAGATTAGAGACCCAGATTATCCAAGACACTGTACAATCAGAGTTTAAAAGAGATCAAATAGGCAAGTGGGAAGAGGGAGGGAAGAAAAGACTGTGCCTATGCCTGATAATCTGCCTCTGCTGCCAGTTCTGGTAGTAGATAGCAGGACTACCAAATGGACAGAGCATGTGTATGCCCACCCCCTTCTCATGGTCCAGCAGCTTCAAAACAGTGGCTGTTCCATTGAGTATGAAGTGCACTGAATGCATCAGCTGCTGAACGGACCATCTATATATGTCTTCCATTGGCTGCCAGTCGGCTCTAGAAACCTTGATCCACTCTGCAGAGGAAGAGTAATTCTGCTAGTAGGCTGGAAGCTCTTGGTGCCATAGAAGGGTTGAGCATACACACACTCAAAATTATGACAGCAAAATGTAGTGTAGATGAGGCCAAAGAGATTTGCTTATTCTCCCTAAGTTTTAGAACATTAGGAAATCTGATTCATGTCCTTTCCAACAACTCCATTAGTCTTTTCCCTAATGTTGAGAGAACATGATTGAAGCTCCACTTTAGAGTTTGACTCTCATCTCTGAAGCATGCAAAAGTCTTACTTGGGCACATCCACACATGCAGGCATGTGCAGCTCAAATAGAAGTAGTGCAAATTTGAGCCAGGGCTTTTTTGCCTCAGCACAAATGCCCGGCAAATTGTGCCACTTGGGTCAAAATAACCCTGCCTGGCTCTTCCCGGATCTGCATGGTGGGGGAGCTAGAGCCCAGGGCCAGCATCTGTGCTGTCCCCAGCAGTATAAAAAGCTGCCCTGTCCTGCCCCATCAGTACAAAAAGCTGCCCTGGCAAGTAGCTGAGGGCTACTCAATCTCAGGAGCTTCTGGGGCCCCACTAAGTGGTACCTGGGGACACTACCCCTTGTGCCAGCTGGACTGCTGAAACAGCCCTGAGAGCTCCCTGCCCCCTCTACCCACTGCAGCAGTCTGGCAGTGGGGGCTGCTGCCTGGCTGTGACCTGCTGTGCACCTGCCAGACCTGGATGGGGACTGCACAGACAGCAGAGGCATCTGCCCCTCTGGGCCAGCTGCCAGTGGGCTGTGGCTGCAGAGGTGGCCCTTTTGGGGGCAC